CCACTGTTCCCACCACGGTTCCACTCTCCCCACTTTCTCCACGGCCCCAACCATTGCCAGACTATCCCCACTGTCACCACTGTCCCACTGACTCCTTTGCTGTCCCACTGAGCTGTCCCACTGTTCCCACCACTGCCCCCGCTGTCCCCACCAGCGTCCCCACTGTACCTCTGTCCCACTGTCCCACCGCCGTCCTCGCCACCGCCTCCACCATTGTCCCCACCACCAGTGTACCCTCCACTCTCCCACTGTTTCCACCTCCCCGTCCCCACACCAGTGTCCCCACCACTGTCCACTGTCCCCACTGTTCCCACCATTGTCCTCACCACTGTCCCCACCACTACAATCCCCACTACTGTCCCACTGTCCCCACCACTGTCCCGCTGACCCCTCACCACTGTCCCCACCACCGCCGTCCCCACCACTGTCCGCACCCCCCGTTGGTTCTCGAAGAAAGGGGGCGGGGGGGCTCGAACCGGTAGTGACCTCCCCCGGTTTTCGAGGGAGGGGTGGTTCGAACCTGTAGTGACACCCCCCTTTTTTTCATGATGAGCTGGGGGGGGGGGAGGGATCTCGAACCCGTAGTGACCCCGCCGGTTTTCCGGAGGGGGGGGGGAGGGGTTCGAACTGGTAGTGCCCCCCCCCCCCCCCGGTTTTCCGCCAGCAGCGGTAGAACACGCTCTTTCCCATCTTTTCGAACAGTGAGCCCGAAATTGCCCCCAGAGGCCTTCCAGGCCGCCCAAAGGGCCCCAAGAGGGCACCTAGACCCCCCACAAGAGCACATAGAGGGCTCCAAAAGTGGAGTGTCCCAAGTGGCCCCGCGAGGACCCCAAGAAAACCACAAAATGGTTCCAAGAAGTTTTTTCTTGCCACGAAAGCCTGGTGCCCACGTACTCCGCAAGGGAAAGGGCGATGCCGCCAAGGGGAAATAATAACAACCGGACAACAGTGCGGCGCACATGTGCGCAGACCTGCTGACCGAGAATTATGTGAGATGGCAGACCGTGGCAGGATCGACAGTGGCCCCGACCTTTCTGGAAGAGGGGTGGAAACCACGCTCCAACATGCTCCACGATCGGGTGCGAGCGCGGTTATATTCAGGGCGGCAAGGCTTGCCAAGCTTGACCAGCCTGGCACGCGAGGTGTGGTAGCCGCAGCTGTGGCAAATGCAAGCAAAACTGCCGCCCGAACACTCGACAAGCTGGGTCGGCCTCTACGGCCACGAAAGCACGTGGAACACGGCCAACAAAAACCGATCCAGTTCCATGACTGAGCAGGCTTGGGCGGAGTGCCATCGACCTGCCTCACAACAGGGATTCTCTCTACATTCGGACCAATATCTAATTTCGGCCAGAGCGCCAAGAGTTGAGAACCTAGGCGCCCCACGGCCCGAGAAAACGCTTCCAATGCGGCCGTTGCGTTGCATTTTTGTGCACTTCCCTCGTTCATGCAACTCACCAGGCGATATGTTTCTGAATGGGCCGGTGGGGATCCGCGAAGTGTTGAATTCCAATCAGCCCCCACGAGGGACCCAAGAGGGCTCTAAGAGGGCTCTAAGAGGGCTCCAAGAGGGCCCCGAGTGCGCCCGAGAGCGCCCCATGACGGCCCTACACATACAATGTCTTAGCATCCGAGGGGGGGTGGGGGGGGGGCTGAATTTAGCACCTCCCTCTTTTTGAACTGTGAGCCTAACAGTACCTCCAGGAACCTCCCAGGCCGCCCCAAAGAGCCCCAAGAGGGCCCCTAGACCCCCCACAGGAGCCCCAACACTGCCCCAGGAGTGCCCCAAGTGGCTCCGCGAGGACCCGAAGAAAAACCCGAAATGGCCCCTAAAGACCTCCGATAAAACATTGTTAAAGCGACTGTTACACTGCATGCTGCTACACTTCCCTGATCAAAGCAACTCGCCTGGCGATCTGAATTCTGGAGGGGCTGGTGGGGGCAGTTTTTCTCGCACCCGCAAGCGGACAGCCGCGCGGCGTCGTGGAATCGCACGGAAACCAAGCCTACAGCGAGCAGGACAGAGGCCCACAATACATCAGGCGAGCGCGGAAAAATCCAAGAAATGAGGCGGGCAGCAACCGGGCAGGACCGAGGCCGAGCTCGGGCGGCGAACGGACGGCGAAAAATGGCCATGCGACTAACCTCGGCTCAGCTCAGAAGCCGAAGACCACGGGTCCGAGCGCACCAATGACCTCGATCTCCTCGAAGAGACAAGCCACGTCTCCGTCAAAGCGTATGCCAATCCAGAAGAACAGCGCACCCGACGTCAACCACTAAACTGCGAACCGCACCGCGTAAGCAGCAGACCTCGAAGTGCAATCAGGTCTCTGCATCCCGCACTGGTGGGGGTACGAGAAGCGTCAAGAATTACAATTTCTGGGAATCCCTCTTACTTACGGCCGGGCTTTGGACAGAAGAACGGTCCTTCGAGAACATGAGACCCTCCGCCAACCAGACTGAAAGGACAGTCGAGGGTACCCTCCCCCAGGATGCACAAGAACATCCAACAAGAAATAATTACATGAAGGCACACTCCCCGGACCGATCTCGATATTTCTTTTTGCACAAACAAAACGCTATAAACAGAAACTTTTGGCGCTCCGCGCGGATTTCTTGGATCGGCGTTGGATCTCCATCCCTGGCGCGCGGAGCGCGCCAGAGGCGCCGCCCGGGGGGCACAGCGCAGATTCAAGAAATCCTCGATTTTTCCGACGCGCCAAACCGACCTCGATCTTGTACCTCGGTCAGACCGTGCTGCGCGCGCTGCCGGCCACCGCCAAGCCACGCCGGGCCGCGGAGAGATCGCGGAACTCGCGGTCAGACTCAGGTCTGGCATGTCCTCCTGCGGGCGGATTCTGGACGACAGACCTAAAACGCAGTCCAGACATGCTCGGCAGTAGTCAAAGATGGTCGAGACATCGTCCCCAGACCATCATTAAGTCGGGCCTGTCCCCCTACAGGGGGATTTTCGACGAAAAATACAAAATACCCAACATTTTTTTTTTTTGTTGAAACAAATCGTCTGGGGACTATTTGTTGCGTATGGTTGACATTTTTGGAGCATTGTTGGGGTATTGTTCATCTTTCGTCGACAATCCCCATGTAGGGGGACACGCCCGACGTGAGACTATCATCTGCTTTACCTTGCTTCAACGCTCCTCCAGTGGGGGCACACGCGCCCGATTCAAGGTCGGACCTGCGCGCCCCCGCGGGGGGTCGGCGGGGCGGCGGGGCCGAAAGGCGAGGAGAGAATGCGGCGGCGGCTGCGCGCACACGGCGGCCGAGGGAGAGGCCGCCTCGCGCGAACACGCACACGGCGGCCGCGCGCACACGGCCGCGCGCACACGCCGGTAGCGCTGCTCCCGCTCGCCTGGCGAGCGGGAGCAGCGCTACCGGGGAGGCGGCCGGCTTCAGGTCGGGCGTGTCCTCCTGCAGGCGGACTGTTAGCGAACAACAGAACTTCAGCAACAGATGATCAAACAAAAATTGTGATTCATCATTTTTTATGCTTAATGGTGAATCAAACATGTTTATTGTGAAGAACTCGTCCCCTGAAAGTTCTTGACCAGTTTTAGCGAAAAACTAGAAGATCAGCAACAAATTAGCAAAAAATCGTCACCATAATACTTCTGGCCTATCTCTGGACATTCGTTCCGCCTGCAGGGGGACAGGCCCGCCTTGGGGCCGGCTCGCCGGCGCCCGGACGCCCACGTTCCCCGTGCACTCTTCCAACGTCGTGCGCGCGTGCTGCTCGCAGGGGGGTCCAGGATGTCGAGGGCCTTCGCCGAGGAAGAGGTACACACGTCCAGAAAAAAAATATCCCGGCAAAGCAACCTAACGGCGATGTGTAGAAGCATATCTGAAAGCATTCCCCTTAAGATTCAGATGAAAATCCAGTTGTCGAATTCTGCTGTTCTCGCAGTCGTAGTCGCATTCGCGATGACAGTCGCAGCGGCAACGGCAGTCGCAGTCACAGCCTCAGCCTCAGCCTGCCTCAGCCTCAGCCTCAGCCTGCCTCAGCCTCAGCCTGCCTCAGCCTCAGCCTCAGCCTGCTTCAGCCTCAGCCTCAGTCTGCCTTCAGCCTCGGCCTCAGCCTCAGCCTGCCTCAGCCTCAGCCTGCATCAGCCTCAGCCTCAGCCTCAGCCTGCCTCAGCATCAGCCTGCTTCAGCCTCAGCCTCAGCCTGCCTCAGCCTCAGCCTCAGTCTGCTTCAGCCTCAGCCTCAGTCTGCCTTCAGCCTCGGCCTCAGCCTCAGCCTGCCTCAGCCTCAGCCTGCCTCGGCCGCAGCATCAGCCTGCCTCAGCATTCAAAATGTGGCCCAGGGAATGAGTTCTGGGAACTAGAAGAACACGAAGTGGCCTACAGTTGGCTCCGGGCATTCAAAATCATGCCCAGGAATGGAGTTCTGGGAACTTGAAGAGCACGAAGTGGCCTACAGTTGGCTCCGGGCATCCAAAATGTGGCCCGGGAATGGAGTTCTGGGAAATCGAAGAGCACGAAGTGGCCTACAGTTGGCTCCGGGCATCCAAAATGTGGCCCGGGAATGGAGTTCTGGGAAGTCGAAGAGCACGAAGTGGCCTACAGTTGGCTCCGGGCATCCAAAATGTGGCCCGGGAATGGAGTTCTGGGAGCACCAAGAGCGATTTTGCGAGGATGTCCCAAGCGATTTCGGCTTCGACGGCAGCCTCCCCGGGTCCCGCCCAGACCCCCCTGAGGAGTCATGATGCTCTCTTTTGAGACCACTAGAAACCTATCAGCAAGAGCTGTTAGGTAATAAACAACGCCACCGACAGAACCTTTTGGCGCTCCGCGTGGATTTCTTGGATCCGCGCTGGACCCCCCTCCCTGGCGCGCAGAGCGCGCCAGGGGCGGCGCCGGGGGCGCCGCCAGGAGGGTCCCAGCGCAGATCCAAGAAATCCGCGCGGAGCGCCAAAAGTTTATGTTTACGGTGTGTTTTCTTCGAATGTCCGAGCGATGCCAGGCTGGGGAGGGCGGTTCCTTGGACTCCTTGGCCCAGGCGATCACCCTGCCGCGGAGCTCGTGGTGCGGGACCCACGAGGACAGGGACTGCAGCTGGTAGATGAGCCTCCCACACCCACGTGGGGATCGCAGGGGGCGGAGGGGAGGAGGAGGAGGATGAGGAGGAGGAGGAGGAGAAGGAGGAGGAGGACGAGGATGAGGAGGAGGAGGACGAGGAGGAGGACGAGGAGGAGGGGGAGGAGGAGGGGTCGCAGGGGGCGTAGCATGATTGCTATCTCTCCCATTCCCCCTCTGGTCTCTTTGACCGCGTCTCTGACACGTTTCATCGATCCCTTCGTCGCTTCACATATCTGGCGCGAGACCAACACCTTCAGGAGAGGGGTGAAGCAGCGCCCTGCTTGAACAACATATCGCGGTCGACTCCAGCTGCATTTGCTTCGAGATTGTCATTTTACCTTGCCTTGCCCTGGGGGAATCGCGATCGGAGCACGGCGCCACTCCGACTCCTACATCTTGCCGCGGGCGCCTCTGCGCGCGCGAATACGCTCTGGGGAATCCCACCAGCCCTCTGGGCGTAGGCGGTTTGACGAGTTGTGCCTTTTCTCTGCCCCAGATCCCTCCTTCCCCTGCTCGAAGGAATGGTTCACCCCTCCCCCTACCACTCCCCTGGGCCTGCCGCGAGGCGTTTGACACCTCAAGATCGCACCGAACTGGCTCCAGGACTCCGGGAGGGCCTCGGAGACTCCAAGGTGGCCTCCAAGATGGCTCCAGATAACTCAAGATGGCTCAAGATAGCCTCCGACAAACGTCAAGGAGGCTTCAAGACGGCCCCAAGACGGTTTACATTGCCCTCCGAACCCCCCGAACCCCGCCGAACTCCCCCAAATGATTCCAAACTCTAAGGGCAATTGATGATTCTTGCGTTCTCGCCTTTTGACTTACGATGGGCCTCGGAGGCCTCAGGATGGCCCGAAGATAGCCTAAGAGAGCCCCATGAATGACCCAAGAGGGTTCCAAGACGGCCCCAAGCGCGCCCAAGAGCGCCCCAAGAGCGCCCCAAAAAGCCCCCAAGGCACATTTGTCTACCATCCGATGGGGGGGCGAGCTGAATTCAGGAAGCTCCTCTTTTTGAACAGTGGGGCCCCAAATTGCCTCCAGAAGCCTCCCAGGCCGCCCCGAAGAGACCCAAGAGGGCACCCCGAAAGAGTCCCAAGAGGGCCCCAGGATTGCCCTAATTGGCTCCGCGAGAGCCCTAACAGATACCCAGAATGGCTCCTAATGACCTCCGAGGAAATACTTCCAAGGCGGTTGTTACACTGAATGCTGCAACACTTTCCTGATCAAGGCAACTCGCCTGGCGATTTTCTTATGGATGGGCTGGTGGGGGTAGTTTTTCCGTCGCGGCTGCAAACGGAAGCGCAGGCGGCGTCCGAAGTCAGCCCGGGCTACGAGCCAAACCTAATTACCCAAGCGCGCGAACCAGCGGCCGCCGGAGCTGCCGCCAAGGGACGCTGTGCGATGCCGGGGAATGAAGGCAGAGCTGCAAGAGGTGCCAGGTGTGCCAGGTTTAAGTCGGGCCTGTCCCCCCACAGGGGGATTTTCAACAGAAAAAAAGACATACCCCCAAAAAGCAAAAAAACAAATCAAAACATAGTCTGCGGACTATTTTTTGAATATGTTTTACATTTTCGGTGCATGTTTGGTGTATTTTGTTTTTATGTTTCATCAAAAATCCCCCTGTAAGGGGACAGGCCCGACCTAATACCAGGCGGCTGAAGTGCAACGCTGGCGGAGGTACGCGAAGCGTCAAGACTTGCAACTTATGAGAGCCCCTCGCCCTTACGGCCAGACCTCGGACAGAAGAGCATCCTTCGAGAACATGAGACCCTCCGCCTGCCAGACTGAAGGACAGTCGAGGGTGCCCTCCCCGGGGTGCACAAGAACGTCCAACACGCACGAAGAACATCAGGGCACCCTCCCCGAACCGACCTTGTTTTGTTTTTTTTCTTCCGACGCGCCAAACCGACCTCGCGTGGCGATCTGTTTCTGGATGGGCTGGTAGGGGATACCTTTTGGTTCGCGAGCGCAAATGGAAGGGCCGCGCGCCGTCCAAAGCTACAGCTAACAAGCAGGAGCCGAAATGGCACACGAGAGAGGAGAAGAGAGGCAACGAGAGAACAGCAGGAGGTGAGACAAACCGGGGCGGGCCGCGCGGCGCTCATGGAGGGGGTGCCATCGGCAGCGCAAACTGGTAGGGGATATTTTTTTTGATCTGCAGCCCGCAAGGAGAAGTCCAGAGGGCGGTATGACCGAGGCTGGGACACAGCGACAGATAATTGGCGCGAGAACGCGCGAAGTGCACCTGCAAACAAATTAGGAAGAGGGGCGGCCACAATTGGGCAACCATCGAGCACAGGCCAACCCACAGGTGGGGCCGAACCGAAACCCTGCCAGAGGCACGCAGACCCAAGCAAAAACCGCTGGGCGAATGCCAGCAGAAGAGGGCGGCCACGGATGGGCAGACGGAAACCAGGCCGGACCCGCAGGTGGACGGTAGGGGATACGCGAAGCGTCAAGAACTTTCGATGGGAAGCGCGCTGCTGCTGCTGCTGCTGCTGCTGCTGCTGCTGCTGCTGCTGCTGCGGGGCGCTCGTGCCGGCCCTCGCGCGCGCAGCACGCCGCGCGGAGAGCGGGATTTCCAGGCGAGGGCTCAGCAAGGCCGCGGTCGCGTGGACCCTCGGAGCCCAGGAGCGTCGTGTGCGCGCACACGTGCAGCGTTGGAGCTCGGGATGGGACGCACAAAGACATACTAGTACTATATGTTCTCCTTGGAGGCGCGCGTCCGACCTAAACATATAGTAGACCCATCTTGTAGTATATTGTTTCCCGAGCGGTGTGGCCAGAAAGCGCCCACCACGACGCATATACTAGGAGATTTCTCGGTGCGCGAATCGTCCCGGGGGGGGGGACGCACATATAGTATAAGTATGTTGGGGTGACGCCGACGGGATGCTCTTCGAAGTTCGCCTCCAGCCAAAAAAACGAAATGTCAACGCGCGTGCCTTCATTCGCGGAGCGAATACAGGCGTGCACTTCCTCCCCACGACGTGGTTTCCAGCATTAGCCAACCAAGGACTATTTCCTCAGCACGTCGAAATAGTCGATCATCGCGGGCCAACGTCACAGAGGGGATCAAACCGAAGCATCTGCACGAAAGACACGATGCGCCGAAAACCAGCACACATGCAGTCATGGGAATAATTCTGCAAGACAAAGATGAAGGGGCCCTGGGACACACAAATAAATGCACACAAATAAAAATATGCCCTATAGTTTCCCATATTTTCTGGTTTTTTGTCTTCCCCCCAGTTCCCATAATCCCACCAGCCCTTTGGGCGTGAGTGGTTTAGAGAGCCCGCTCTGTCCTCAACCCCCCTTCTTCCCATTCGGGGAGGGGTTTACCCCTCCCCCTACCCCCTCCCCCTGGACCTGGAGAGGGGGTTCCGCGGGTCGTTGGAGGGGTCTTTTCCGACTCCTGGGAGGGCTAAAAAACGACGACACTCACGAGGATTCTGGCCCCGACGGGGGGAGGGAGTTAGGCCCCTCTGCTCTTCTTCGAAGCCAAAATCATTGATTTTACTACGGTATTGGCCCCATGTTGGCCTCCTGCGGGGGCCGCGCTCATCTACCTTCCTAGCAAAATCATTGACTTTACGAAGGTTTTGGGCTCATCTTGTCCTTTTCAGGGGGCAGCTCTCATTTGCGCGTCTGAGGAGGTCGCAAGAGGCCCCAAGATGGCCCCAAGAGGCCCCCAGGAGGCTCCCAAGAGGCCTCCAAGAGGCCCCCAAGAGGCCCCCAAGAGGCCCCCAAGAGGCCCCCAAGACGCCCCCAAGAGGCCCCCAAGAGGCCCCAAGAGGGCCCAAGAGGCCCCCAAGAGGCCCCCAGAGAGCCCCCAAGAGGCCCCAAGAGGCTCCAAGAGGCCCCCAAGAGGCCCCACGAGGAGCCCGAACGACTCACACCAGGACGAGGAGCCCGAACGACTCACACCACGAAGAGCCCGAACGACTCACATCACAAGGAGGGGCCCGAACCTCACACCAGGACGAGGCGCCCGAACGACTCACACCACGACGCGGGCCCCGAACGACTCACACCACGAGGAGCCCGAACGAGTCACACCAGGAGGAGGGGCCCGAACGACTCACACCAGGATGAGGGGCCCGAACAACTCACACCACGAGAAGCCCGAACGACTCACACCAGGACGAAGAGCCCGAACGACTCACACCACGAAGAGCCCGAACGACTCACACCAGGAAGAAGGGCCCGAACGACTCACACCAGGACGAGAAACCCCAAACGACTCAAATCACGAGGAGCGTTTTCTCTCCCTCCTCCTCCGCCTCGTCCTTCTCCCGCTCCCCCCACAAGGAGGATGTACAAGGAGGCGGGAGGAAGGAGGAACAGGGGAGATATGCGGGGCCAAGCGGACACACGCCTGAAAAACACGACTGTCGGCATGCTTCGCGAGAGTTGCTGCTGTGAGATGGGCTGGTGGGGATACGCGAAGCGTAAAGAATTATTCCATATTTTCTGGGGAATCGACGATTAATTGTGTTTGTGTGATGTTTCCCCTCCTGAAAGGTACACGCCCCTCAAACCACCGTGCTGCACAAGCTAGAGCGGCGGCAGAACAGATCGCAGGACCACGAACAGACAAGAATACCAGATCACCCTCACCGAGGCGGAATCATGAAGCGTGGGGGATAGCAAAGAGGGGGGGGGGTGATAATCAGCTCACATAGCTGATTTTCCTGGCGCCTCCCGGCGCCGACTGCGGCTATGAATCGAGGAATGGGCCCCTCGGTGAGGCCGAAACCAGCTGCATGCAGCAAATTTCGTAACCCCCCCTTTCCCAATCCCCACCTTTCGCCCGGCCCGAGTCTACTGTGCTTGACTGTAGCCTGTAACGCCTCATGCCAACAATCAAACGGTATCGACCCCAACATCGGCCCGCTCCGGCCTGAGCGCAGTGTGCCAGATGGTGTCCTTGTCCGACACCATCGTGCGAACCTTCCACGGAGGGAGCATCTTGCAGAGTCATGAGAAAACTGGTAGCGCCAATCGAGCGAGAGTGGCAGCATTCACGTGGGTGCTGGACCCCAGGGAGGAGGAGGAGGAGGAGGAGGAGGAGGAGAACCCAAGGATCCGATGTCGTGATTTTTTCAATACTGGGTCCCTGGAAGTCTCGACCCATTCCCCAGGACCGATTTCTCATCCCGAGTCGTTCTTTGACGGTCCTGGGGCCCGGCGAGGGCCCCTCGAGGCCGAAAAATACGAAAAACCTCTGTCTTGACTTTTTCAATGCGTTGGATCTCTGGGGAGAAGGAGGAGGAGGAGGAGGAGGAGGAGGAGGAGGAGGAGGAGGAGGAGGAGGAGGGTGAGGAGGAGGAGGAGGAGGAGCAGGAGGAGGAGGAGCAGGAGGAGGAGGAGGAGGAGGAGCAGGAGGAGGAGGAGGAAGAGAAGGAAAAGGCAGGCGCGCACGACTGCGCCGGGCGCTGGGCCCGGAGCAGAGCGGGCCGTGCCAGAGGGCGGCGCCATGGGGCGCCCTCCGACCGGGAGCCGAAGAAGCCGACGCTGCACGAGCGCAGACTCCTGGAGCTCCGCGCGGGATCTCTTGGAGGATCGGCCCCTGGCGCGCCCCGCGCGCCATGAGACCTGGCCAGCTGGATCATCCTTCCTCCTCCTCCTCCTCCTCCTCCTCCTTCTCCTCCTTCTCCTTCTCCTCCCTACTTCCCCCTTTCCCTCCTTCCGTGCCTTCCTCCTTCCCTTCCTCCTTCCCTTCCTCCTTCCCTCCTCCTCACCACGTATCATCATCAGCAACTGCATCATCATCATCATCATCATCATCATCATCATCATCATCATCATCATCATCATCATCATCATCATCATCATCATCATCATCATCATCATCATCCTCATCACGCGATAGCCCGGGTTATCCGGGGGAGGGGGGGAGGAGGGGACACGCCGATAACCTAACCATCGGGCTGTGGACAACCTTGCATATGCCCGCGCCACCCCACGCCGGGACTGCACAACCGGCAGGGTTCGGTTATCCTGGGGGGCGGGGGGGAGGGGGGGCAAGCCAGACCCGGGTTATCGCCGGACCCGCAAAAAAACTGTCTCCAGGGGGGGCCCATCGGAGATGGACAGGACCCCCTTAAGTAAAAACGTGGCTTCGTGAAAACAACCTCGGGCCCAAACCTGGCGGGCGCAAGCCTGGAAAATGACGGCCGCGGCGCCCTCTCGAGAACCGAAGACGGCCGATTCCGACGTGTCAGGGTGGGGGTTCTGTCCACCCCCACCCTGACAAGCCCGCGCGGAGCTCCAAAATGTTTACGTTCATGCAGCTGCTTCCTTCTTGTGTGGAGGAGGTGTCATGCTGACGGACACTGGCGCGGTGGCGGCCTGCGGTTCCCTCTGGGATGCTGCGGGATGACGGTTGATTTCTATAAGATTGTTCAACAAGAGGAGGACGATTTAAAAATATGTGCATTACGCGTCGGCTTCGAATATTGCGTCGAATACTCGCTTCACGTCGTCGTCAACTTTTACGTTAAATAAGACGTTGACTTCAACTTTTTCGTTTAATGCCAGATTTACGTCGGCTTCAAACTTTTACGTCAACTACTCGTTCCACGTCGGCTTCAGACATTATACCTAATGCTCATCTGATGTCGGATTCAACTGTTACGTCAAACGCTCGAATTAAGTCCGAGCGCGCGCCCGAGGACGGCAAAGGGGGTACCCTTCAAAATAGTTTCCCAACCCGCGGCCGGTGTTTCTAATCATCCTCCGGGGCGCCGCCGACGCAACACGACCCCCGGTCATTTATTAAGCGTCATCCTACATTGCGGCGCTTCTCCCTTGTGTTGGACGCCCGAATTCTCCAGGAGATAACTGCGGTCCCGGGTGACTCCGGTCTGGGCCCGTGAGGGGGATAGGCATAGGGGGGGATGCATCGACCTGGAATCGGCGATACATCGCCGATAGATCGGCGATAGGCGCCCGATAGTGAGTCCGCACCTTCCTGGGCGGGGTGGGGCTGCCCCGACGATTCGTGAGGAATGGACACCCAAATTCTCTGCGATGTAACTGCCGTCCGGGGTGATGCCGGTCTGGGCCCGCGAGACACGAGTCTCCAGGTGTTCAACAAATACCCCCAAATGTTCAAAACAATTTGAAAAAACGTCCCCAGACCATTCTTGGACCATTTTCTGAATATTTCTCCTGTAGAGGGACGTGTCCGACTCAAAAGTTACCCCTGACCGCCCCCAGCCCCGACGATTCGGGAGGGTTGGACGCCCAAATTCTCCAGGGTCTGGCTGCGGTCCAAGGTAACTCTGGATTAGGCCCGCGGGTCACGAGTCGGCAGTTACCCCTGACAGCCGCCCGAGCGTTCGCATCAGGAGAACACCTCGCAAAGCTTGGTGATCAGCGCAAGCCTCTCGCTCGTCCTCACAAGTGTGAGGAGGCTCCTCCTCCTCCTCCTCCTCCTCCTCCTCCTCCTCCTCCTCCTCCTCCTCCTCTCCTCCTTCTCCTCCTCCTCCTTCTCCTCCTCTCTTCCTCCTCCTCCTCCTCCGCATCCTGCTCTCCCCCCGCTCACTGCTCGGGCAAGGACTCCACCCGAAGAAGGTCGGAGCTCTCGAGCCCCTCTCTTCTTGCTCAATCCGACTGTGGGCCCCTGGCAGTGGACGTCAACACACATCCCTAGTGGGCCCTCTCCATTCAACTCTTCGCGCACACCACGGGCTCCCACGCCTGGAGGGGGCGCCCCTCTCTCTGAGGCCTGGGGGGCTCCTGGCCGCCGGGCCCGTGCCCCAGGGACGCATCGTGAGAGCCAGGCTGCCGCCTCCGCCAAGGCGGAGCCGGGACGAGCATGACATCGGGTGGGGATGCCCGTCGGTGGGAAGAGCTGGGCAGAACCATGAAGTGGGAGGGCTTTGGAAGTAGATTGGGCCTCCGCCCGCCCCCGGAAGAGGAAGGACGGGGAAGGAGGAGAGAAGCGCCCTCGATGATTAGAGCAGGAAGTCGCTTGAAGTAGATCGGTATCCGAAGATCCCAAACTGTTTTTTCTTCGACGACTGGCGTGCAAATCGTCATGAGAGGAGGGCGGAGAAGAAAGATCGGGGAAGGCCAGGTCAGGGCCAACAAGGTAGAACGAAGCCAGGACGAAACAAATTTGGGTCTTGATAAACCCAGAATGTCAAAGATCGGGCGGGTCTGGACGATTTCTCGAGAGCCGCGGCCTTCTCAGCGCGTTCCAGAGCGCTCTGAGAGCGTTCTGGCACGCTCTGGAACGGATTTGTCCAGTCCTAGCTCCACCTGGTCATCCCCATCTGCATCTCTCGATGATGTGCTCATCGACTTGTCCGTGCGACTGGTGCGAGAAGTGCCTCGTTGTAGCTGTCAAATACCATGGCGAGCACCAGATTGAGCACAACCAGGATCACGACCAGGAAGAGAGACCAGAGCCAGATCATCACGATGATGCTGTTGTGGCCTAGCAAGCAGGAGCGAGCAGAAATATGTCAGAACATACCAACGTTATCGAGCGTACTACGCACGGCACTGACGTGACCCACTGCGCAAAACCTGTTGCACATTGACTGCGAAGCCACATGCCAAGCAAACGGAAACTACGCGTCGCAGGACGCGCAACCGAGTGTGGAACGCACCTGAAGCAACTGCACACAGGTACAGAATAGAAAACCTACGGCGGGAATAGTGTGCGAACTCTTGGAGCGAGTGGCAATCGTGACCATCGGGTCTGGGCTTCGCTGGTCCTCATGCCGTGACTCTCGTCGCCGCGGCCCGGGTGTCGATGTGGAGGGAAGCGGCCGCGCGGGGGGCGCGGGCAACATATGCCCCTGGGGAGGCGAGGGCGGGAGGCGAGGGCATATGCACCCTGCGAAATGCTTGAGAGATCATGTTTGGTGTCCGTTCCATGGGAGCCTGCGTGGCCCCCGGCGCTGTCCGATTTGGGCCTGGTTTGGACCGGATTTGGAACATATTTAAACCAGATTTGGACCAGATTTGGAGTGGATTCGCGGGGACTAGAAGAACGAGGAGGAAGAGGGGGAACAGGAGGGGAGAGGAGGAGCAGGAGGATGGGCCAAATGCGGTCCCTGCGCGGTCCAAATGCAGGAAAAGCTGATTTCAGTGTCGCCGCCCAAGGCTCCCATTAACAGACGTCGAGATCATGAGTTCAGAAATTCACAGTCTCAGAATTTCGGTAAAAGCCCGGCAGTTCTATGGAAAGCTTAGGGTTGATACATCGAAGCATTAAGAATGATCGAGACTTCGGCCGAAAACAGGAGTTTTCTTGAGCATTGCCTGGGGTGTGGAGGGAGCGAGGGCACGGAGGGAAGAAGAGCGTGGCACGGCACGAGGAAGGGGCGAACAAAAGGAAGGGAGGGAGGACGGAAAATGAAGCCTGTTGTCAGCATGCGTGCTCGTACGAAGTTGCTGCGCATGGGAAGCACAGATACATACTAGGACTGTATGTCGTCCTTGGAGGCGCGCGTCGGCCCCCGAATATATATATATATATATATATATATATATGGTCCAGGGCTTGGGCCCCCCCCCTCCCCCCCAATGCTGATGCCATTGGGCCCCCCCCCCCCGCGCGATGGTCCCCCCCGCCCCCCCCTGTGGGCGTGGCGTGGTGCTGCGCTGCGGTGCCCCCCCCCCCCCCCCTGTGGATGTGGTGTGGTGCTGTGGTGGTTCAGAGGTGGGCGTGGCGTGGTGTTGCACTGCGGTGCCCCCCCTCCCCCCCCCCTGTGGATGTGGTGTGGTGCTGTGGTGGTTCAGAAGTCGTCGTCGTCGTCGTCGTCGTCCTCGTCGTCCTCGTCGTCGTCGTCCTCGTCGTCGTCGTCGTCATCGTCGTCATCGTCGTCATCGTAGTCGTCGCCGCCGCCGCCGCCGGCGTCGTCGCCGCCGCAGCCGTCGTCGTCGTCGTGGTCGTCGTCGTCGTCGTCGCCGTCGTCGTACTCGTCGTGGTCGTCGCTGTCGTCATCATCGTCGTCGTCGTCGTCGTCGTCGTCGTCTCTGGGACCATACCATCTGGGAAGGGGGGGGGCCCGAGGAATCCTGGGAACATACCGTCTGGGAGGGGAAGGGGGGGGGGCCCGTGGGCCCGGAGCCCGGGATCATATATAATATACTCAGTCGTTTCCTGGGCGGCGTGGCGAGAAAGCGCCCGCCACGTCGAATATACTGTTAAGATTTGTCGCTGCACGCGTCGCCGCTGGGGGGGGGCACGTATCGTACAAGTACGGTGGGGCGACGCCGAGCGTACACCATTCAAACTGTCACAATTTGGTGTGGAGGTGTGGATGTTGTGTCGCACGGCAAGTTCGCGCGGCGTCGGCGCGCGCAAAAGTTTTGACACCGTGTCGGCGGTTCACCCTTGAACCGATCGCGGCCACTGTTGCATTACTGTGCCCCTCAGTGCTACCGTATCGTTCTATCATGCGGAATTCAACCTTGAACGCCTTCGCAGGCGTCGCTAGCGCGCCATCGAAGCATGAACCTGCCGCAACGGCAACGAAGCCTTATCCCCCCACGGCAACAAAGCCGACGACGACGAAGGGAGATAGAGAGAAGCCTGAGAGCACTCGGACGCGAAACATTGTCGCGAGCACCGCGCGCCACACAACCGCAGCGCTGTGGCGCGCGACGCCTCTTTCCCAGGAGCGGGAACTCCAGCCGGCGGAATGCAAAAAGCGCACCAGGCTGCTGGAGCAGAGGCACGGTCCACCGTGCCCGCTGCAAGTGGCGTCGACAGATCCCGCTGCCTCGCCGATGCATCGGCGTGTACCAACGATGCCGGCGTGGAGCAAATCGGTGTCCGGCTGGCGCCACATCGCTTCTGAGGACGAACGAGGCAGCCCTGCGGGAAGCCTCTGGGAAGCCTCTCGGGGGGAGGAGGAGGTGGAGGTGCAGGGGGAGGAGGAAGAGGATTTTTTCCCACCGCGCCTTCATCCCGCAGGATGTCACACGCGGCACCGCCGCGGTGCCCCGCGCGCCCGGCCGGCGGGCGAGCCCGACCGGACTGCACGGGGAAAAGGCCCCGCCCCGCGGGCAGGCGGGAGGCCCCAACCGAACGGAGCCGTCCCCACGAAGGGGGAGGCCGAACGGCAGGGCCACCCGCACGCCCAAGGGGCAGGGCAAAAAAGGACCCGGACCCCGGGACCCACGACGACGACGACGACGACGACGACGACGACGACGACGACGACGACGACGACGACGACGAAACGACGACGACAACGACACGACACGACGGGGAGACGGACCGCCAGTCCCGCCCCAAGGCGGCGAACGCAGGGGGAGAAACCCTGCGCCGCCCTGGGGAGGCCCCGGGACCTGGCAGCCCCCCCTGGGAAGGGGACCCCGCTTATGGGGGCCGTCCCAGGGGAGCGGGGGCTTTTCGCCCCTCGGGCCCGGCGCTCCCCGCCTGCGCCAGGAGGACCCTGGGGTCCCGACCCCTCCCCTACGGGGAGGAGGAGGAGGAGGAGGAGGAGGAGGAGGAGGAGGAGGAGGAGGAGGAGGAGGAGGAGGAGGAGGAGGAGGAGGAGGAGGAGGAGGAGGTATCGGAGACGCGGCGCGTTTCTCGAGGACACGCTGGCCCAGGTCGGCGCTGACCCCGGTCAGCCAGGGCCGTGCCGCGGGCCTGGGCCGGCCTCGTGGCAGCTCTCGAGGGCCCTGGTCGGCGAAGAGGGGGCGGGTGAGCGTCGCTGAGCCGATCCCCATCTCCACTGGCGTGGCCTTGGACCCGCTGGACTCGCTTACCCGCCGAGGTGAACTATAGCTACGTTTGCTCCTTCGTGCGTCGCGTGCCCTCCCCCGCCCACGAGGGTGGACTGGTAGGACTGAGAAGTCATGGCCCAGTGGCTGTCGGGATAGGGTATAGATCGATCGGAAGACGTAGGTCAAAACACGAAGCAGAATGACGGATGAAGTAGGCTGGGTCCAGGCCCTCGCAGAGAAGAACAGAACACAGCAGAAGCAGATCGATTATTCAACTAGGGAGGCGCTAGAAACATTTGGAACTCGGAAATGCGAACCCCGGGAGGCGGGGTCGCCTCCTCCTCCTCCTCCTCCTCCTCGTCCTCCTCTTCCTCCTGCCAGAGGGCTCGCAGTGGGGACTGGCCGACCCCCGCGCGGGCGGAAACCCCGAGGCGGAAACCCCGAAACCCCTTCGCGGTGCGGGGCAACGAGAGGGGGGGGAATGGCATGGGGGGGACGCATCGACCTGGAATCGGCGATGCATCGTCGACAGATCGGCGACAGGCCCCCGATAGTGAATCGGCACCTTCCTGGGCAGATTGGGGCTATCGGGCCACTGTCGGCGATCAATGGGCGATTGCGTGTCGATGCATCCCCCCCTATGCCTATTCCCCCCCTATCATTGCCCCTGACGCGGGCTTTCGGCCGCAGCTCAGGCCCTAGGTCGGGCGCGCCCTCCTGCACGCGGATTTTGGACGGAACATGAGAACAGATTTGACACATGCTCAAACATAATCGTAACAGTCATTGAACAATCGTCCCCTGGCAGTCTTTGGACCATTTGTGACTTTTTCGGGGATGGACAGACCCCCCTTTAGTAAAACGTGGTTTAGTGAAAACGACCTCCGGCCCAAACCTGGCGGGCGCAGGCCTGGAAAATAGCGGCCGCGGCGCCCTCTCGAGAACCGAAAACGGACAAGCCACTAATCGACGTGTCACTGTGGGGGGTTCTGTCCACCCCCGAAGATCTGGCACATGCTCAGACATAGTCGCAACAAACGCAGAACAATCGTCCCCTGGCAGTCTTTGGACCACTTGTGACTTTCCCTCGTGTGCAGGGGCACGCCCGACTTCACTCGCACCTCCAGCGGCTGTGCGGGACGGTGCCGGCCTCCCCGGAAGGCTCCCGACGAGGCGCCGCTGCTAGGACCTCCCTTCGGGTTCGGGACGATGCTGGCGCCCCCGAAGGCTCTCGACGGGGCTCGCTGATGAGAGCCGCCCTGGGCTCCAAAGCTGTTCGGCTCAGGAAAACCTATGAAGACTTGCAGCGGAGGCCATTCCACAACCTTCCGCAGGAACCCCAACCCTGAGACCTCAGGGCGTCCCTTGACTTTCGGTGTGGCATCGTCACGCTCTCCATCGCAGAGCCATCGAAACCCAAGAAACAAAGTGCATTCTGGAAGCGAGCAGTGTGTTTCTTGGCATAGGTCTCCACGGTCTGGCACGTGTTCGTCCCCAGGCAGTGCCAGGCCTTTCCATCCAAGAGGCAAAACAGAAACTCAATCGGGCCAGCGCAGGGCTCCAAAGGAATGGCTTGAGCGCCACCAGCGACACACGAGCACCAGCATGAAAGAAAGCGCATACGCCGCTTCTTCACCTGCTGATGGATGCCACCATCCGCGCAATCAGCTCGATAGCTCTGAAGGAGCGCGTTCTACCGCTGCTGGCGGAAAACCGGGGGGGGGATCACTGGGGGTCAACCCGTCCCCCCCCCCTCCGGAAAACCGGGCGGGGGGTCACTACCGGTTCGAACCCCCCCCCCCCACTGTCCATCATGAAAGGGGGGGGTCACTACCGGTTCGAACGCCCCCCCCCCTTCCCGTCATTTGCCTGTCATATCACAACAGGTGCAACATCATGTCAACTCTGGATGGAAGGATTCTTAAAACAACTACATGTCAACACAAGTGCAATATAATCGGCATTATATTGGTCTTGGGATCCTCCTTTGGTCTCGGACTGAGTATGCCCAACTATTCGGGCACCCCTGGTCCAGTTGGCCCTCAGCGAATCAGCGTGTGGTTGGCCATCCTCCTCAGGACCTGCCACAACCAACCACACGGGGCAGGCCGACGCTGTCACGAACGACATCCCTGTTTCCTCTGGGACTCCTTCGTACACACCAAAGTTGCCAGAAGATGTCAAGCAAAGTTATTGAAACCTGCTGTTTTGGCCTTCGAAGAAGGGAGGGAACAACTGCCCCCTCTTTCGTGACACTGTCGGCACCTGGCGGACTGGCCACAAGTGCCCCCGTTTTTCTTGAATGTCTGACCCCCCGCCCCCGTGACCAGAGCACTGACTGGAGCACAGGACGGCGGAGCCGACTTCACAGCAGGCATGCCGGAATCTCTCTGCAACACGCGCAGGCATGCTGGAATCTGTCTGACTGATGGAAAAAGGCTGCGCCGCCGAAGACGAGCTCCTGGAGAGCTTCGGCTGATAACCCGTTATTTGCCTGTCATATCACAACAGGTGCAACATCATGTCAACTCTGAATGGAAGGATTCTTAAAGCAACTACATGTCAACACAAGTGCAATATAATCGGCACTATCTTGGTCTTGGGATCCTCCTTTGGTCTCGGACTGAGTATGCCCAACTATTCGGGCACCCCTGGTCCAGTTGGCCCTCAGCGTTTCAGCGTGTGGTTGGCCATCCTCTTCAGGACCTGCCACAACCAACCACACGGGGCAGGCCGACGCTGTCACGAACGACATCCCTGTTTCCTCTGGGACTCCTTCGTACACACCAAAGTTGCCAGAAGATGTCAAGCAAAGTTATTGGAACCTGCTGTTTTGGCCTTCGAAGAAGGGAGGGAACAACTCTTCCCTCGCCGCCGGCAAACGATTCCCGCTCCTCGGGACAGTTGGACAATGGTGGGGATGCTGGGACAGTGGTGGGAACGGTGGTGGTGGGGACAGTGGTGCGGGGAAAGTGGGACGTTGGTGCGGACAGTGGTGGGGGCGGTGGCGGTGGGGACAGTGGTGAGGGGACAGGGGGACAATGGTGGGGACAGTGGGACAGTAGTGGTGACGGTAGTGGTGGGGACAATGGTGAAGGCGGTGGTGAGGACAGTGATGGGACAGTAGTACAGTGGGGAATGTGGTGGGGACAGGACAGCGGCGGGGACAGTGGGACAGTGGTGGGTACAATGGGGACAGTGGGACACTGGTGGGACCGTGGGGAAAGTGGGGAGAGTGGGAGCGTGTTGGGACAGTGGTGGGGAGAGTGGGGACAGTGAGACACTGGTGGGGGCGCTGGTGGGGACAGCGGGGACAATGGTGGGAACAGTGGGGACAGTGGTGGGGACGGTGGTGGTGGGGACAGTGGTGTGGGGACAGTGGGAATGTGGTGGAAACAGTGGGACAGTGGAAGGTACAGTGGTGGTGAGGACAGCGGTAAGGGCGGTGGCGAGGACGGCGGTGGGATAATGGGACAGAGGTACAGTGGGGACAGTGGTGGGGACAGTGGAGACAGTGGTGGGAACATGGGACAGCTCAGTTGGACAGCGGCGGGCACAATGGGAAAGTGGTTGGGGCCGTGGAGAAAGTGGGGAGAGTGGAACCGTGGTGGGAACAGGGGTGGGGACAGTGGAGACAGTGCGACAGTGGTGGGGGCACTAGTGGGGAAAGTGGGGACGGTGGTGGGAACAGTGGGGAAAGTGGTGGTGGGGACGGTGGTGCTGGGGACAGCAGTGGGGATGTGGTGCGGAAGGTGGTAGGGACCTGGGAGTCGTTTGCTGGCGGTGAGCGTGGGGGGGGAGGGGTTCGAACCCGTAATGACCCACCCCGGTTTTCGAGGGGGGGGGTTCGAACCGGTAGTGACCCCCCCAGTTTTCGAAGGGAGGGGGGGTTCGAACCGTAGTGACCCCCACACCAGTTTTCGGGGGTGGGGGGGGCGGGGTTCGAACCGGTAATGAACCCTCGGTTTTCTGGAGGGTGAGGAGGGGTTCGAACCGGTAGTAACCCTTCTCTGGTTTTCTTGGGAGGTGGCGGATGGGTTCGAACTAGTAGTGACCTCTAAGGTTTTCCGGAGGGAGGGGGGAAAGGGGGGTTCAAACCGGTAGTGACCCCCCCGAGTTTTCCAGAGGGGGGGGGTCACTATACTGGTTTTCTGGAAGGAGGGGGGGGTTTTGCCGGCGGAAGGGGGGGGATTTTCGGAGGGGGGGAGGGGATCCCTGGGTTCCGGAGGAAGAGGGGGGGGAATTCTCCACAGTACAGCGGCGGTGGATCACGCTCTCTCAGATCTCTGCACCCCGCTCCACAGGGTTTGAGCGCCGCGGTCTCAACCTCAACGCGCAAATGCACGCAGAATCTTGGGCCACAGGCCTGAACGATCAGCCGTGGCAGTGCCGCCTCGGGGCCACAGTGAGTCGGGTCAGCACTCGGACCTCCCGGGCACCACCTGAAGAGGGCTCGAAGGACTCGGACGCTGGCCTTCGGCTGCACGCAAGACTGACCTGAGGACAGAGTGACCTCTGGCGCGCTGCTTCAGGGGTCGGGGGCGTCCAAGATCGGGAGCGGCCAAGAGGGGGGTGTCCAAGAGTGGGGGGGTTCAAATCATGACCGGCGGCATGTGCGCGGCCCAGCGGGGGGACCAGGGACGTAATGAAATAAGGAAAGGCGCCATGAATTCTGGGCAGATATCGTGGCCCCCGCCAAGATATCCACCCCCCCCTAGTCATCACCCCCTCTTTGCCGCCCCCGACAAGAGGGGGGGGGCGCAAATCATGGCCCGCGGCGCGTGCGCGGCCCAGGAGGCGAGCCGGTCACGCATCAAAATTAGAAGAGGCGCCATGAAATCTGGAGAGATGTCATGGCCCCCGCCGTGATATCCACACACACACACACACACCTAGCCATCACCCCCCTGCGCCGCCCCCTAAGGGGGCTGCGGGGTCCCCTGCCGGGCGCGCAGGAGCGCTGCTTCAGGGAGACCCCTGCGGGCCCGAGCGGAGGGCCACTCCGGCGGAGGAAAGGTCGCTCTCTTCGGCGCGCGCAGCCGACCTTCTGGCCCCCAGCTCCCTGCCCCGGCCCCCCTTGGTCGGCAGTGCACAGACCTCCCTTCAGTAAACCTCCCTTTAGTGAAAACGGCCTGGGACCGAAACCGACGGACCTGGACCCGCAAAAATGCCGGCCGCGACGCCCTCTCGCGAACCGAAAACGGCCAATTCACGAATCGACGTGTCAGGGTAGGAGGTCTGTCCCCCCCCGACTTGGGCGGGCGGGGAAGTCGGGACTCGGGCGTCCGCTGGGGACGATCCTGAGCTCCTCCTCCTCCTCCTCCTCCTCCCCCTCCTCCTCCTCCTCCTCCTCCTCCTCCTCCTCCTCCTCCCTGCAAGGCGATCTCGGCGAGGCACAACCGAGGGAACTCCCGTCAGGAGCCCGATGGGTCTCCAGGAAGGCAACCGCCGAGAACCCCCGAAGGCCTCCGAGGCAGTCACTCCTTCGACGACGTCGCGCGAAGCCGCAGGCGACGGCGATGACAACGACCGGAACGCTCCCTCGGCTCGCCCTCGGCGGAGCGGCCTGCAATGAGGTCGTCCCACTGGTACTCGCGCTGGCCGACGATCTGGAAGACGTACCCCCATGAGCCCCTGCAGGGATGGAGAGAGGTAGGCAGGAGTAGAAAGAGGGAGGAGGGGAAGGCAGGCAGGAGGGAGGCAAAGAGACGGGAAGGAAAACTTTGACTGTATAGAGGCATGCGAACGCCATTATCTTCCCGACAGCGCCCCTCGATCAAGATCGAGTCACGACGAGTATGAAACCATACCGCCTCGCAGACTCCCCACATCGAAACATAACAGGGTACATCAAATCGTGGGATGCCGACTTGCCTGCCAGGGTAGGATCGAAGGCCGCACTGAGCCTTTTTCTGAAGACGCCGGGGCCCCAAGCCTTGGGTCGGTTCAGAGGACAAGGACCAACGCCCCAACGCCACCGAAACCCCATCCAGGGGGGGGGGGGGGGCGACCCCTGGGTGGTGGAACGTCTGAACAACTGTGACACTGGCAAGGGCTCCCGCCGCGATGGGTTCTTGGCGGGGTGACTTGGAGGCAGCAAAGATCAATTCAAAATCCGTCCCCTGACCCCTCCCAGGGTCCATCTGGTGTAGCCTTTCACCCTGGATGCGTTTTTCACGGTCCCAGGGCTCGAAGACGGCCCCCCGAGGCTGGAGAATCCCGAAAACATAGTCGGAACCAACACTTCGAACCTGCCCGCCCTTCCTGTTTGCCAGAACCAGTTCTAGAGAACCTCATGCCCCCAGACTGCTCGAAGAAGTGGTCGCTGTTTCTCATATGAGGGATGGCCACGATTTCTGGCCTCACATGCCGCACGCGCGACAAGAGCCGCCTCGAACGCCAGCTGGACAGCCTTTAGCCTGGCCAACGGGCAAGCCCCCGCCAAAACGTCTGCCCTCTGCGAACACTTGCAGAACCCGAAACCCCTGGAATTCCGACGGGTAACACCAACGCCAGCATTCGTGGGCCGACTAGCGAGCCGCAGTCGAAAACACAACCTAGATCACGCATCGGCTGCGCGTTTCCAGGCCTGGTCTTCCTCCATTCGACCTCTCTTCCGTCCAACCACCCCTCCACCACGTCCCCCGCCTTCCTCCTCATCATCATACTGCCCCTCCTCATCATCCTCCTCCTCTCAGTCCCCCTCCTGCAAAAGAGCCAATAATATCCAGCGTAGTATGTAACGCGCGCTTGTTTTCACACTGCATTCGGATGGCTTAGATTCATGTACATTAAAAGCTTGAGCCAAGTGGTTGCCATAATGTACCCACTCGCATTCACCCAGCATCCCCAGCTGCCACAGTATGCTGACCCCCCCTCGGCTGACACAACCGCCGACACGACGGGGAAGGTGCCAATCATAGAATACGGCAGCTTTGGGGGTATGCACATTAGATACACGATGTGACTTCGTACAGCTGCGTGCGTTGTGCCAGCTGGAATGCCCCTTCAAACTGGGGCGTGCGTGGCACGCAGCAGCAAAACATACTGAAACACTATGCGGAAAGCTAGCGTTCATAATTATGGTTGCCTTTGCTGTTTACGTATCAGTACTCTACAACATGTAGAGTTTTGTCGACACGCATGTGAAACACGGCAACGCACGGTCACTTAGGTTGAGCAGGCGTTCGGAGAATAGTGGGAGAGGTCTGATGACGTTAATCACACTTGGTGGCGCCTCGGCAGCCGCGAAGCTGCCCTTCTGCCTGCCTCTGTGCGGCCTGGCGACCCGGCGCGCTCGAATGGCAGCGCGGGTTGCGGCGCTCTTTCTGGGCCTGGCCCACGCACGCGGGGTCGTCGTACGCCTGGTTCCTTTTTTCCTCCTTACCCCAGCGCCCACAGCCCCTCTGAGGAGTGGCGCAGGCTGCGCGGATATGACGAGTGCCCACGGCTGACCAGTATGACGCTTTTGGGGCGCAAGGGTAATGTGCAAGAGTCGGGTTGATTGTGCTTGTTCTGGTATCAAATTCCGCTCTGTGGATCAAATAGCCACAGCTGCCCGTTAGTAACCAATTGAGCAAAAACGCACGGCGTGAACCGCCTGCCAGCACGGACTCTCTCGGAGCTTCGGATGCCGACTCAGTGAATTGCGGCGCGGGAGGTTGCGTCTGTCGATTCCCCATCCCCTTGTTCTACGTGGCTGGCGTCGCGGCAAGCCAAGTGCTGTGCCATTCCACGGGGCGCCGCTCCGAGCTAAGCTGCACGTCTTAGCCATTGAGACTGGTGAAGTGATGCGCGGGGCGCTGCCTGCAATAAGTCTGGAGTCCGTCCACCGACTTAATGAACGCTTGCACCAGCTCCTCTGTAATGGATCAGATTGCTGCCGTGCCCGCTGGTATCTCGCCATGGTTGGTGCGGGAGTCCTCGGCGAGGACTATGACGGACGCGATCGCGCAGTGCCCTGGCCAGAGCATGCCGAACCACGTTAACAGCACGTGGACTTGCTCGAGGCTTCTGCATCTCAGATAACCCGTCGACGTGCGTGCACATGAATGTCCTGTGCCGAATCGTCATAAAACCAAGCCTCATTAAGTCCATGCTGCTATTTGACTCGGCGGCAACCTTCTGCCATCGTCGGCCGCAGGCGCGCGACGTCGACGCGCGCGTGACCCGGTTCACGGCAAGGCGGAATGGAATTGCATCATATAACTAATGTGACCTCTGAGAACTTCACGGGGCATGGCCCATTGGCACGCCCGCCAAAAAAAACGCTCGAACGTCGGATGCGGGTTAACATGATCACGGTCGTTAGCCTCATGAGCGATCTCGAACGGCCCGACTCTGGCCTCGTTATGCCACTCATTGCGCCAATAAAGCCAAATTTTCGTGACTAAGTTCGCAAGCCAAAGATGGGCCCCCGGCTCGGCATGGCGCGCGGATCGCGGTCACCATTGCCCACCTCGAGGAATTGCGACCCTTTGGCGCAGGCGAACAAGCGGTGAAAGGTGGGCACCCCAATGATGTCATTCGCGATCATGTCGAGCTCGTTAATCCCACAATGGCCGAGGCCTTTCTTGATGTCGGCGACGCGTTCCTCCGCGGTCATTGGCAACCTGTCTCTAGCCATGTCGTCTGTCGCCACATCAGATTGGGCCGGTCGCAATGGTCCGCCAAGTTGTACAAAACGCGGGGGCGCCAGCGTGGCCAGTCGGCCCCCCGCTGCCGCTGCTGCCACCTGAAAAGCCATGCGGTTTTGGAGCAGCCGGACGGGTCGGAACCGCTGGCGGAGCGGGTGGAGCGTGGGCCTGAGCTGTAGTTCCCCCGCAGCTGCAGGCGCTGCCGCCTGCGGTCACCTTCGGGCTCGGGTCCGCTGAAGTCGCTGCCGCCGCTGGCGGAGTAAGTGGAGCGTCGATCTTGTTGCGCGACGGCTGTCGCTGCTGGCGGCGAGGCTCGGCGCCGCAGATGAAACTCGCGCCAAGTGGAAGCGTCTGTAAATCGGGCCGGCGATTGGCGGTTGGATTGCGCGACGCTCGAGCCGCCTCTTTCAACCGAGTGGTAAGAGCATCGATGATGACTCCCGCCTGTTTCAGGCGGGAGCCCCTGGCATCCGTTCGGTCATCATTTCCTGACCTCTACAATTCGTGCGTGACTGGCCTCGATGTTGCCTGCGATCCGCCAGCATTTAAGCGCGCGTTCACCTTCGGCTGCCCCCCTCGATGCGTCGTGGGCCGCCTCCGCGCGTGAACTAAGATCCCCGTTGGTGTCATTAACTGCAACTAGGTGGACTGCCGGGCCCCCCCGCTGTCGCGCGAGCCTGTCGTTTCCGCGGGTCAGATCCATGAAATCCTTGCACATCTGGCCCCGTGCTTTCGCCATCTCGTCGTACGCGGACCCAGCCTGCTGGCGCGCGGCCTCCACTTCGTCGACGCAATGAACATGTCTGTGTTGGCGTCTCGAGCCGCAGCGAAGACGTGCTTGTCGGCGGCTTCCGCGAGGGCGATGAACTCACGCACGTTGCGGCTCGCTTCGTTGATAGCCCGGCCGCGCGCAAGGCGATGCGGCGAGGCGTCGATCGCGCCAATGCGCAGCGACGCGAGGCGCCCCCCGTGCGATCGGTAATCAGACCTGCAGAGAGGGCAAAAAGTAGGTGGCAGTCGTGAACAGAATTCCTCGTTAAAGCTTGGGGCGGAAAACGTAGCCGCAGTGGCTCGCGTCCCGCTGCGGGCGCTAAGCCGCGCCTGCCCCCGCGTGTTTTTCGATGAGTTAGGTCCAAATGTGCGCTTTCACACGCTTTCCGCTACGTGCATGTCTGCATTCCCCAGTCTCTTGAAACCGCAACTGGCGCGCATCACTGTGTCTCGCGTCACCCAACCCTCTCCTGCTTGCCATCGCCATGGCAGCGGTGACATCACTCCCCAGTGCAACGCTGCTTCCCACTTCAAACTATGTCACCAAATGCTCCCTTCGCAATTTTATAATACCCGACCACGCCCGACGACAACGCTATGGCGCTCTGCGTTGTGTTCCACGATCAAAACAGGTGAGGCGCACTCATCGCTACTCCTCCACGCGTTGACTTCTTCGTTCCTCTTCGCCCGACAGTATCCGCGTCTGTCCGCGCTGTCAATTCACCCGGCTTGCACTGGCAGGAGCGCAGGTAACCTGACCCAACGTGCGACTTGAGATGCTTGCATATTGTAACCAAACTCCCCCAGGAGCCCACTGCGGTATCTGCCATACTTCTGGCTAGCTCCGCGACCGAGAACTCGGTGCCCAGCGGGTTCTGAGCAGGGCAACTTGCTCGAGCGGCCATTGCCTGAAATCACTTGGCCGTGCTCCGTACTATGTCCTTCATCAGCGGGCGCATTATCTCCTGGTACTTCGGCTCTTACTTTGCCCCCATGCAAACCGAACTGTTTCGCAGTATCTCTGCCAGCCAGCGATCAGGCCCCGCGCCGCAAACCATCGCCCCCCTCGATGATCCCGTTAAGTCTCACGATCGCCAGCTTTCATCCGCCCCCCGGCCCTGGCCTTCGTCGCGCCCTGAACTTTGAATCATTTGTTCTGTATTTCTGTTTCGAACAAATCGAGGTCGAAGTCGCAGCCCAATAGGCGAAGCCACCCCGATGCATTGTTGACCAGTTTCTTCTCGTTTTGTGTCTGAATACACGTGGCAACGCCATGCCATTAGTGAATCCTGCCGATGTTGGAAAGTCCACGCAACAACCTGCTTGCAGCATCCCTTGCCCCATGCGTTGGTTTGAGCTGTGCGCCGCACGTGCCTGGCTCGCAATGTTCATCGGGAAATGGAACACATTTGTGTTCAGCGAGCCAGCTTGGCATCGATGCCCCCAGCTTGGGCCCTTTCCCGCGCTCACCCTCGAAAAACCGACTCTCTGTAACGACCACTGGGAAAAAGGTAGTTTCTGAGACTCCAGTGGAGGCGCGGCCGAGAAACATGTTCTTCTCCCTTGAGATGTATTGAACCTGTTGGGCCACTCTTCTGGATCGGTGATCGGGGCGACGTTCGTCCCCTTTGGCAATGTCAATCCATATGGTGCCGATCGGTCATGGTCCAGCATACCTCCTCCTCACTTTCCCGTAAACTCCCTGATTCTTGAATTGTGCCATGTATTCCAGGCGTGCTTTTTTTATGGTTAACAAAAGATCGACTTCATTTCCGCTGGCATCATCCCAAGCATGCACCCGGCCGTTCTCTTGACGACGCATGCAAAACAAATCGCTCGTTTTGATCGGCATGAACGTATCATGTTCGCCACGCACTTCACAAGTGCTGATGCTGTTCACCATGTGTGCGAACATTTTGGGCACTCCCATTGTCTGACCGCGGTCTAGGTCGACAGCGATTCGTCTGACGCAAGAACTCCATAACAGCGCATCCTCGCCTGGTAACATAAGGCGAATACTTCCGCAATCGTTGCGTGTCCACTCCAACTGGCACCCGGTGAGTTCATTAAACGCGCCCCAACCGACGCCTCTAAACTTCATATCTCCATTTGTCGTGGTCTGCCTCCATCGTCGCTTTTCGTCGTATGGCGCGCAGCGCTGTCTTCACATAATCGACGTCTCCATGAACCGATGGCGACACACACATTTCCATGAATCCAAGCCTTTCGGTCCGCGGGTGCGGAGTTCACTGGGTGGGTCCTGCGGGCCAGAGGTAAAGGCAACTGATCCAGCTCATGCCATTGCAGCCGACGCTTCGCTACCACGCCAAATATCCTGGATTACTCAGCGTAGTAGCGCGCGCTTGTTTATCACACTGTGCTCGGATGAGCCATACTTCCGAATGTTAAAAGCCTGAGGCACATCGCTGCGTGAACGCAGCCATTGGCATTCACCATGCCTCCTCAGATGCCGCCTCCTCCTCATCCTCCTCGTCCTCCTGCTCCTCCTCCTCCCCTCTTCTCCTCCTCGCTCGCCCCTCCTGCTCCTCCAGCACATCCTCATCCTCCTCCGCCGCCTCCTCCACCTACTCCTCCTCTATCACCCCTTTTCCTCATTTCTACTTTATCTTCCTCCTCCTCATGCTCCTCCCCCTTTTCCTCCTCCTCCTCCTCCCCCCTATCCACCCCCCACGCTGTCCCCCTTCCCCCTCCCCCTCCGCCTATTCATCCTCCTCGTCTTCCTCCTCCTCCTCCCCCTCCTGCCCATCCTCCTCGGATTCCTGCTCCCTATCATTTCCGCGCGAGAGAGGGTGGGGGCGAGCAAGGGCACAGGCGCCAGAAGGTGGCGAAGTCTTGCATCCGCGCCCCGAACAGGATGTGCCCGCTGAACACGTAGGCAAGGATCATCAGCAGCAGGACGACAGTCAAGTGCATGATGTCCTCGAAACCTTGCGCGGGGGAGCACGGACGAGGCGCAGCGCGCGTGGCAGGAGGAGGAAACGGAGGAGGCTGGGGGAGAGGGGGGGGGAGGAGGAGGAGGAGGAGGAGGAGGAGGAGGAGGAGGAGGAGGAGGAGCAGGAAAACGAGGAGGAGGGGGATGAGGACGGCGAAGGGGAAGGGGAGGATACCGAGGATGAAGATGAATATGAAAATGCGGAGGAAGAGGACGAATAGGAGGCAGAGGAAGAGAAGGAGGAGGAGGAGGAAAAGGAGGAGGAGGAAGAGGAGGACGACGGGGAGGAGGAAGAGGAGGAGGAGGAGGAGGAGGAGGGGGAGGGGGAGGAGGAGGAGAAGGAGCACGAAGAGGCGGAGGAGGAGGGGGAAGAGGAGGGAGGAATTGGAGGAGGAGGGGGACAAGAGGAGGAGGAGGAGGAACATGAGGATGAAGAGGAATAGGAGGAGCAGGAGGAGGGGGGGCAGAAAGAAAAGGAGGAAATGAACGAGGAAAAAGAAGAGGAGGAGGAGGAGGAGAGAGAAACGGAGGAGTGATGACGGGAGAGGGAGCGAGGCAATAGGGACAGGGAGGGTCCTGGTCACAACGACACAAGGTCTCAAGGCGTCTGGCCGAACCCCGCCGAAAATCGACGAAACGGAAATGGGCGCATTTGGCCTCCTCGCCACCCTACTGGATCGGAACCTGTCATGCATATCCTTTAGTCCATTCCTATCCCCACCGGCACGGCATCGGCAAAAGCGACAGATGCACCACAGCAGTTTCGCCGACATTCGATGGTCGATGATTGAAATTCGCTGTCACGCCGGTCCCGTCGGGTCTCGCGAAGCCTGTCCCCATCTAGGGGAACGAACCATGAGTTAAGCATGAAGGCGCTGGGTTCCAGACGATTTTCTCCGATCGGCGTTGGGCCCCCCCTTCCCTGGCGCGCGGAGCGCGCCGAGGGCGGCGCCAAAGGCGCTGCAAAGGGAACCCCAGCGCTGATCCGAGGAACCCGCGCGGATTTCAGAGCTTTGTGTTTATGTTATTGTTTGCCCGCTCACCATGTCGAGGGGGAGTCTGGCGGGGCTCAACTACACCATGGCCCAGCGGGGATTAACATCTGATAAACAGCGCTGACCCTTTGCAAGGGCAGGACAGGTCAGCACCGACTCGGGGAATTAGATCGAATCGAAACGTGCATCGGGTCGGGCTGCGCCGGCACGGGATCGAAATCGAATCGGACCAGCTAGGATGCAAAACGACGTCCAGCAAGCACCGAGCCGCAGTGCACCGTCGGAATAACTGGGAAGGGTCTTTAGGGGGGGAAGGTTGAGGGTCGAGGAGGAGGAGGAAGAGGAGGGGGGAGGCGCAGGAGGATGATGATGATGAGGAGGATGCCCGCGTTAGAGGCGAGTCCCACTCAGCCAGACGGCAGCCAAAACAATGCAAGGCCCCTGCGTTGCATGTGCACGCGGGCTCCTCGCGCTTAGCGAGTGCCTGCACGAGGCGCCACCCAGGAGGCCGCGGGGGGGCCCTGCTGCAGGAGGCTCGAAATGAGCCCTGCTCGCATATAGACAGAGGCCGCCCCCCCCGGCGCGCGCGGGCGGGGCGGAGAGGGGGTGTGGGCAAGGGGCGACGACGACGACGACGACGCTCGCCGCGGAGGACGAGTAGAGGGGGGCGGCCGGCGGGGCGGCCGCGGCGCGAGGCAGCCTCGAACTCGACGAAAGCGGCGGGTCGGTCTCTCCCGACGGCCTCCCGCCTCGCCGCTGCCGTCGCCGCCGCGTTGCCGCTTCTCCCCCCCGGAAATGCCTGAACAGCGGCGCCCTCGAGCCCCTCTGGGGGCCTGGCGAAACGCGCCCAGACGAGCGGTTCAGGAAGGCCCGCCCCATCAGGGACAAATGTGCTCATGCGCATCAGATTCGACAAGCGCTGCTAGTGTGTCGGGCATCACTTCTTGTCCTGGGAGGGGCGGCGCGCGCGGCGCAATCGCATCCTCGCGCGGGCACGTTCGCCTCCATTTGCGCGGACGTGCAAGCGCGCAGCCGACGGGCCCTGCGCGCGTAGACACGTGTCCACAACTCAACAACACCATGCTGCTATCTGCTCGCATGCCTACCGGTCATCTGCCATATACCACTTCAAGCCCTCAAGTCGGGGGCCGGTCGCTTCACTGGCTGGCCCTCGCAGGCTCTGGCTCGACCCACTTCGACGGGCCCTCGGGGGCCCAGCCGCGCGGGGCCCACGGGCCCCCGTCATCCTTGCCCCACAGGGGGGGCATCTTGGTCGTGGGCACCGGCGCAGGACTCCCGCGCGTGGAGCTCCCCGACGGGATGTCAATCGAAATGGCGTTGCAGTTTTTCTCGCGTTTCGCGGTCTTCTCGTCGGCCTGCGCGCCCGCGCAGTACTTCTGCGACGGCGGGGGTTGTCTCGGCGCACAGCGGCTGTCGGACAGCATGCCTTGGGTCTGCGGGGAGAACGGGTCCGCGGGTCAGGCGTCTCGGGCATCGAAGTCGACGGTCGTTCGTCTGGGCAGGATGTGGCGGAGACCCGGGTGCATAGCTCCCGGCCCCCCCCGGAGCGGGCGCAAGGCCGCCTTCGGGAACGCCGTCGGATCTCATCCGCTTGCCGAACGGTGGCACAACGGAAAAACTAACCGTCTCGCGCCTGTGCTTGATGTGGGCCCTGACCGGGCTGCCCACGGGCAGATCTTCCACGATTTCCTCCGAACCCCGTTCCATCGAATCATCGGGCGGAATCGCGGCTTCATCGCTGCAGGCGAGGGGTACCTGCGTACGAGGCCGATAGTCGTCCAACGGAGCAAGGGATCTGATGCCATAGACTCAGTCCCCTCCTTCATGTGGCCGGCGAGCGTCACTGTAAGCGATCGGTATCGGTGCCGATATGCGGGGGGGGCTTCTCGTCCCGATGAAATTGACTCCACGTCTTGCCAACCGTCCGAGAGGTTGATTGAAACTTCGGGTTGAGGGGCAACTGGTGCAGGAAAATGCGCACCATCCTTGTATCAGTTGAGCTCCTTGTCACCCTTGGCCTTCGGGATGTCCAGGCGAGGTTCGTCGTCGAAGGACACGTTCCAGCTGATATTACAGCAGCGACGTCATCGCGGTTCTCCAACATCGTCGGTAGCATCTGCTCCAGGGGCGTTCGCGCTCAAGCTGTGGCGTTGGTCTTCTTTCTTTCGTACACCATCCACTGAAGGCAGAAACCTAGCTTCCATCTCTGAAAACACCAGATCGATGATAAACCTTTTCGGCTGGTAACGAATAAGTTGCCTGTTCTCCGTCAGGAGGGAAGCTTTCGTAGCCCAACTGATCGGCTAACTGTGTGTTTGTTCATCATGTTGTGGCATTTTGCCGTGAAATACTAAAGGGAAGAGGGCCCGCCGGCCGGCGGGCGCGCGGGCGGGCCACTGATTCCTTTGTTTTCCACCAGTTGCAGCCAGGATAGCTGCTAACATGTACATCCGAATGTATCTGAAGCATGGTACGGGTGTGACTACATCAGCTCTTTTTGTTGAATCGTCGTGGTGGCGTTGGCGCTGTCCAACAGCCATCTTGGGCGCCCGTTGTGGACTCCTCGCGCTCGCAAGGAGCACCAAAAGCTGTCCTGGAAGGCTGCGGAGCCAGACCCTGCTCTTGGGGGTCTGGACCCCGCCTGCCCTGCGATCCGACGTAGCGAAAAAATCGCACCAGCCTTTTAGGGCATGAGTGGTTGAGGGAATTTGTTCTTTCCCCCCACTGTTTTTCCCGGGTAACTACTGCTTCCTATTAATGAACACCTCCTCCCCCGGGCTCCCAGCAGCCAGCCAGGACCAATGCGATCCCCTCCGGGACGGACGGGGTGCCCCCATATTGTCTGCCTTGCGCACGGCCACCATCCCCGTCAAAAAAGGATACAGCATGTACTTCGCGGCTGAATCTGGATCGTGCGCGGCCGCCCCGCGATCGCTGTACACTGCTTTTAATAAGGACCGCAGGGATGCTGGCATATTGCTAGCTGTGGAGGCCCACCTGGGATGGTGGGGGCCGATCTGTTTCCCGATGGCGCACCTGGTGCGGCTGGACCATGCGGCGCACACTGCGCGCGTAGAGCACGTGGCGCATCTGGCGTGCGAGGCGTGCCTGGCACGCTTGGGCCCCAGGGGTGCCTGGCGCACATGGAGCGCCTGGCACGCGTGACGCACCTCGCCCCATCGCACACTTGGGGTACGTTTTGATTCCCAGTAGCTGCTCATCCATAGTTGACCGCTGAACATGCTGAGGCCCAGGTGCTCCTTATGTGTTGGGAGGGCGGGTGGGAGTGAGCGAGACAGCTTGCGGGCGGGCAGGGTTAGAGCGTCCACGATGACCTCGGCGACCAGCCCCAAATCAGTAATTTGAGTGAGGTTTTGGCCCAATGTTGAACTCCTGGGGCGGGGAGGCCTAATCGGAACCCCTCCTTCTTTGGACGATCAACTCCGTGGCCCCAAGTTGGCCATCGAGGCTCCCAAGAGTGCCCCAAGAGAGCCCCAAGAGGCGCTCAAGAGCCCCCAGGAGGTCCCCAAGATGACCCCCGAATGTCCCTAGGGGCTCCCAGGAAACCCCAGGAGACCCGAAGCGGCTCCTTTGCGCCCCCAAGGCGCTTCAAAAGGCCACCACGACCGCCACGGAATCTCTCAAGTGACATCCGACGTCACTCCGAGAAGCATCCAAGAGGCCTTTGGCCTTTCTGTTCGCCCTCCTCATCGTCCTCTTCCTCATCCGCCTGAGTTTCCTCCTCCTCCCTCCTCCCTGCTCCCTCTTCCCCCTCCTCCTCCACCTCCTCCTCCTGCTCTGGTTCCTCCTCCATCGTCCCTCTCTTCCGGTACGACGGTTTCCCAGAAGTTCTTCCACTGCGTGCTCCCTCACATGCCTGGCCAGAGCAACTCGCCTGGGCATCTTTTCTGGATGGGCGGGTGTGGCTACGCGAATCGTATAGAATATAGAATTACAGCACCCTGCAGCAATCACGACCGGCCATTCTTCAAAACGGATGGATCTGCAAGGGCCTGGGGCCTCGAAGGCGGGCGAAGCCGCACGGCTCGGAGACATCGAGGCGCCCCGTGCGAAAACGAGCCCGCCCCACCCGCCTCGGCCTCGGATCCGCCCTTGCCTTTGAGCAGGGACCGACCGTCCCAGCATTCCCCCAGGCCTACCACGAAGTGTTCGAATAATCGGAGAATGTTCGAAATTAACAACAACACTCGTTTTAGAACGTGCAGCCGACGTGTTCAATCAAGACGGTCTCGACGAGAAATGTTCTGATATCATTTTGTGCAAACCGCAAGAGGTTCGTATAACATTCTGCGGGGGGGCTATTAGAAGGCCAGGACGCTTCGCAACTCCCGCAATACGTCTACACACAAGCTCCAGGATCCCCAGGGGATACTTTCTTTCGGTGGCAACTCATGGGAGCCTCCCATACCATTCTGTCGGCTCTTGCGAATCGACGCTAATCGACGCTACATCGACGCCAACCGTCGCTAAATCGACGCTAGTCGACGCTAGCCGCCGCAAAACCAGCGCTGTCTCATCGATTCCAGACGCTAGTCGACGCTCACCGAAAGGACGGATTGAAGAAGGTAAGCCGGGCTCCCATGATTTGTCGCCGAAGTTTCTGCGTGTCCTAGACTTTTGCCTTTCCCCCAGCAGTTGCAATACAGTGGAGGCCAGTCCACAGAAAACCTTCCACGAGGAACCCAACTCTGAGACCCCAGGACACCCACTGATTTTTGAAGCGGGAGCGTCATGCCTTCCACGGCAGCGCAACCGAAACCCAGGGCACCCTGGGCACCCTGGAGGCAAGCAGGGTGGTTCTTGGTATGGGCCTCCACTATACGAGGGAAAGGAGGAGGAGGAGGAGGCGGAGCTCTTCCCGGGCTCTTCCCTCGTCGACATCGTCGAATGTGGCCACCGCGCCGCTCGCCGCGCGCCCCGCCTCTCAGAGCGGCTTGGCGGCGGCGGCGTCGGCGGCGGCGGTGGCACCTCTGCTTGGGTAGCTCTGCCCGCGGCGTGGCGCGGAAGTCGCGCCAGGCCGCACCTCCTGCCGCCGCTGGGTCCGCCTCGCTGGAGGAGGAGGACGAGAAGGAGGATGAGGAGGAGGAGGGGGGAGGGGGGAGGAGGAGAGGGGAAGGAGGAGGAGGAGAAAGAGGAGGAGGGGAAGGAGGAGGAGGAGGAGGAGGAGGGGAAGGAGGAGGAGGTCTGCCCACGACGAACGGCGCGTGCCTGTCTCTGCGCCTGCCTCTGCCCTCCCGCGGAGCGCTGCCCCCCGCCGGCGGGGGGCGGGAGGCGGCGGCGCGCGGGCGGGGCGCCCTGCACGATGGTGTTGACCACGATGGCGAGGCGGCGCTGGCCTCAAAAGAGAGGCCGGCGGGGGGAGGGGGGGGAAGGAGAGGAGGAGGGACCGCGGGGAGAGGGGGAGGGGATCCGCTCTGGACTCCCGAAATGGGTACGGGAAGAATGGGTACAATGCCCAACAACTAACGTTGTCCCAAACCGACAGCGGCCGCTGTTGGGCAGGCGGCCTTCTGTCTCGAATGGACACAGGCCGCGGCGGCGTGGACAGCGAGTCCTCTTCAAGAGGAACCAGATGCACTGTTGGGCAGTGTGCCCATTCTTTCCGTGCCCATTTCGTTCGTGCAGATCTGCGGAGGCGGGGGGGAAGGAGGGGAGGAGGGAGAGGCCGGCGGGGACGGGGGGGGGAAGGAGAGGAGGAGGGACCGCGGGGAGAGGAGGGGGGGGGTTCGCGGGGAGGGCGGGGGAAGGGGGGGAGGGCCCAGACCCCCTCGAGGCAGGAGAGAGGCACGAGCACGAGGCCGAGTCCGTCGCTGTTTTCGGCCTCTGGGGGGCCGCAGGGCGATCAAAAGAGGACTCAGGATGAAGAGATGTTCCCTGGAAGTGGGTCGAGACCCCTGGGGGTCGACGTCATGAAACAAGTTACAACAGAGACAACACCCGGTCAGTGGATGGTTAACTCGATAATGAGATGGTGAGATCGATTGAGTGAGATGCATAATGGGATCGATCATGAGATCGATAGTGGATCGTGGGACCGTGGTGAACTAATGAACTCGATAGTGAGAGCAATCGTGAGATCAACAGTGAGATCGTCAGTGAAATCGACAGTAAGTTCGATCGCGAGATCGATCATGGGATCGATAGGTGACGATATTTCGAAATTGAAATGGATATTAAGACAGATACTAGGTCGATTGAGTGAGATACGTAGGTAGTGAAATCGATCGTGATATCGATCGTGGGATCGAGCGTAATATCGATAATTATATCGCTGGTGAGATCCATTGAATGAGATGGATAGTGCGATCGATAGTCAGATCGATTGATGGTTAAATCGATAATCAGATCGATGGTTAGATCAATTGAGTGAGATGAGTAATGAGATCGATGATGAGATCGTTAATGAATCGTGGGATCGATGAAGATGTCGATAAGGAGCTCGACCGGGAACCCGGGAACCCGGAACCCCCCGAATCGGCCTGGAACCACTAATCAGGAACCGGGGAATCCGGAACCGGGAACCCGGGAACCAGGCCGACTTACAATATCGGTGGGAAACTTTCGCCACATCTTTCAATTACACATGAGAAAACTCAAATGATACCGGAGAAAAACCCAATCATAATCTTTCCAGAGCTGTAGGGCTATAGGGCCACAAGGCTATAGGGCTGTAGGGCTCTAGGGCTATATGGGCTATTTGGTTTGTATTGGGTTATTGGGGTATTGGGCTATAGGGCTATAAGGCAATAGGGCTATGAGCTATGGGACTATAGGGCTATAGAACTATTGGTCTATGTGGCTATACGGCTATGGGGCTATAGTTATAGGACTATGTGACTATAGGGCTAGAGGGCGATAGAGCACCAGGGTCCCAGGGCACCCCCGGGCACCTCCGGGCACCCCAGGGCGCCTCCAGGCACCCCTGGGCTGAGATCCTCATAACTAGTTCTGGTAGTTGTGGGGAAGTTCTAGTATATCATGTTCACTTGATCTTCCAGATCTTCACTTGATCTTCCAGATCTGAACTTTATCTGCCAAATCTTACATAACTTGAACGGTGCAAGTTGTGGACGATACGGACGTTGTTGTTTCTGTTTTTTTTTGAAGCGGTTTCTATAGCGTGTAAGGTACGGGAAAGTTAGTGGTTCTAGTTGTGTAAGTTGCGTTTTCGTTAGTTGTTGGTTTTTTGTTGTACTTTCTTTCATTTTTGGAGAAAAAAGCATGCATTACTAACGTAGGTGTTCTATGATTTCTTATTCTTAAACAGATAATGCGATGTCTCAAAATGCAGTCAATTATGCGTTTCGCGCCCCCTTCGTCTCCTCCTCCTTCTCCTTTTTCTCCGCCTTCGCCTTCTCCTCCTTCCAACGTACCAAGCTCCTCCTCCTCCGTCTCCTCATTCTCCTCCTCCTCCTCCTCCTCATCCTGCTTCTCCTCCTCCTCCTCCTGGGGCCTGGAGCGTGAAGGTCTGTGTTTCCTCCAGGACGACGAGGAGGAGGAGGAGGAGGAGGAAGAGGAGGAGGAGGAGGAGGAGGAGTTCCCCCTCCCCTCCCCCCCTCCCCCTCCCCCTCCTCCTCCTCCCTCCTCCTCCTCCTCCTCCTCCTCTTCCTCCTCCTCCTCCTCCTCCTCCTCCTCCTCCTCCTTCCTCCTCCTCCTACGCCCCCCCTCATTCCCCAATGCGCCCGTAACGCCCCCCATTACCTTGCCAGTCCTCCTCCTCCTCCTGTTCCCTCCTCCCACCCTTACCCCCTCCCTTCTCATCCTCCTCCTCCTCCTCCTCCTCCTCCTCCTCCTCCTCCTCCTCCTCCCCCTCCCTCGTCTGTCTGTCTGCTTGTTCGTTCGACGACGACGTCGGCCTCATCTCCTCCGGAGGAGGACAAGGCAAAGATGAACGCCGAGGAGAAGGGATGTGGAGGGAGGAGGAGGGAGGGGGAGGAGGGAAAAGGGAGGAGGGAGAAGGGAGGAGGGAGAAGAGAGGGAGCCAGGATGATGAGGAGGACGTAGGGCAGGAGGTGCAGGAGAAGGAGGAGGGGGAGGCGAAGAGGAGGAGGAGGAAGGAGGCGGAAGAGGGATGAACAGAGAGGAGGAGGAGGGAGGAGGGAGTATGAAAGGGGAAGGGAGGATGAGGAGGAAGAGAAGGAGCAGCAACAGCAGCAGAAGGAGGAGGGGCAGGAGGAGTAGGGGGGAGGAGGGGGGGAGAGAGGAGGAGGAGGAGGAGGGAGGAGGGGAAGGGGGAGTTGGAGCAGGAGGGGCATGAGCAGGAGGAGGAGGGAGCAGGAGAGGGGGAAGAGGAAGAGGCGGCGGCGGCGCCAGCAGCGGCAGGAGGAGGGGGGGAGGAGGGGGAGCAGGAGCAGGAAGGGGAGCAGGAGCAGGAGGAGTGAACGGAGGAGGAAGGGAGGAAGGAGGGAGGAGAAGGCACCTGGAGAAGGGAGGGAGGAGGGAGGGAGGGAGGGAGGGGGGGAGGGAGGATGAGGCGGAGGAGAATGTTCGGAAGGCAGGAGGCGGAAGGGGGGCAAGGGGAGCAGGGGGAGGAGGTGGGAGGAGGAAGGGAGGGAGGGAGGGAGGGAGGGAGGGAGGGAGGGAAGGAGGGAGGATGGGGGAGAGGATGGGGGAGGAGGGAGGAGGAGGAGGCGGAGGATGGGGTAGGAGGGAGGAGGGAGGGGGGTAGGAGGTGGAGGATGAGGGGTCGTCGCAGGCTGTCAACGCGCGCCCAGGGCCGCTAGCCGAGCGAGCATGCGGCCGCCCGATAACATCTCGACAACAATGTTATCGAACAGTTATCGAGGTGCTATCGAGGTGTTATCGAGTGATATCGAGTGTACAGAGCTCGATAACACTCGAGAACATCTCGATCACATAGCTATCGAGTGTTATCGAGCTCGGAAAACACTCGATAACAATGATATCGAACTGCTATCGAGTGCTATCAGGCTCGATATCACTCGATAAATACATCGAAAACACCTCGGTAGCCGTTCAATAACATTGCTATCGAATGGTTTCGAGGTGTTGTCGGGGTGTTACCGGGCGCCGCCGCGGGAAAGCGCCGGCGCGCGCGTTGATCCACGTTTGCGATCGCCTGACTGGCGGCGCCTCCAGCGCCGCTTCTGGCCCGCTCCACGCGCCGGAGTGCACCCGACGGGCCAGGCGCAAGGCGCTGCGCGCCAGAATGCAGTCGGGGCCCTTTTTGTCGACACATCCATGAAGGAACAGAAATTCACACAGAAAATCATGCAGGCAGGAACCCCGAAAGCGCAGCGCAGCCGCGCAGGGCCCCTGGCAGCCTACGCCACTCGCATACCACAGCGCTACCGCCGCAGCTCATCAAGGGGGATAGCTGTCAGAGCCAAGGACGCGCATCACACGAGGGAAACACCTGCGAGCGCGCCGCTGAAAAGAGAAAAGGGGGCCAGGCCGCTCTACAACGCAGCCTGGCCCGAAAAGGCGCCCTCAGTCCCACTCCTCTGGGAAGCGGGCTCTCTCATCCTTCGCCCTGGCTACGAGTTGCTCGCAGATCCACTCGAGGCCCGCGCGCCGGTGCTCTGCGCTGGGCGCCTCCAGCGGCTCCGTCTCTGGGCCCTTCTCCCAGCCAGGCCTGCGAAGGCTGCGCTCCGCGTCGAGCAGCTTCCGCTGTTTGTTTAAGCTCCCTCTTCTCCTTGTTGCCGAGCGTGCGAAGGCCGGCGGCGGGGGCGGCCTGCTGAGCCACCACTTCTTCGCCCTCCGTGCTGATCCCCTCGTCGAGCACATCCAAGGCAAAGGTCTTCGCCGCCTCCACGGGGGCGACCTCCTCCACGGTGGTAGTGTGTCCGCAGCAAAGGGCACCTGCTCCAGCTCCAACTCCTCCTTCTTGGCCCTCTCTCGGCGCCAACGCCGCTTCTTGAGGGCCCCCTGCGAAGGCGCCGAACCCGACGCCGGGGCCGACGCCCTCCGAGGCGAGGGGCTCGCTTTCTTCTGCCGCAGCTCCTTCGCCGCCTGGGCCAGCGCCTCCTGCTGCGAGGAGATGCGGTCCAACTGCAGGTGAAGCAAGATCTGGTTCTTCCTTTCCGCCTGCTCCCGCGTTGGAGCGCTCAGGCTGGACGCGGGCGGTTCCGTGGCCAGGGCCGGCGTCTCCCGAGCCCGCCAGGGCCCCTGGCGAGCCACCCGCGGCCCCCGCGCCAGCACCTTCTGACGCCCTGGCGCTGGCGGCGGGGCGGGTGGCTTCACCTGGGGCTCCTCCGAGCGCGCCTGCGCCAGCAGCTTCTTGTGCCCCCGAAGTGCTGGCGGCAGCGGCCGGCGGGGCCACCGAACCCTTGAGTGCAGATCCCAAGCCGAAGAGCTTGAGGATCTGCTTCTTGAC